AAAAGCAGGATATAGGCGTATGGACAGGCACACGAGAAACCGACATGTGGCTCAAATTAAAAAATTAACGGGAAGAAAACAAATCTCAGTGGTAATGGGTCTTCTCTGGATGGCATATTTTAATTCCCACTTTTCCAATTATTTTTTTCCACAATGCACGTTACTATAAAAAGAACAGGGCTAGTGGTGGTGGTGGTTTTTAAACTCCCCACCCTATCCTGCAGTCTAATAAAAACCCGCCAATCCACACTCAGCAAGAGTCTATTCCTCCAGAAAGGAGGCTCTGGGAAGCCCGAGCTGGTGGGGCCTCCCCCTCCCACGACGGGCCCATGGCGGTGCATTAAGCTTTCCTAAGGGAGACTTACCTGGCTTTGGCACAGTTCCTCAAAAGAGCCCTTCACCCCAAGTTTGGCTGCAAACGAGGGAAGCACATCTGGGTCAGGAACCACCACTCCCACTAGGACTGACTGTGGAAAGAAAACGGTCATGTGAATGTGTGCAGCACTGCCTCCAGGTGGGGAAAGAAAGTAGTTACATCTTCTTAACATCTGATACTTCCCAAGCCCGCAAATTCAGTGCTACTGGCATCTTATTCTTCTCTCACGATGTATTTCAAACCCACATAGAACTCGAATCCCATTTTCCCAGTCAACATCTCTACAAAGATGTTCTACTCAAATCTGATTGTTCAAAAAGAAGTGGCGCTCAACATTAAGCGTCAAGCTTCTCCGGCCTGTCCCTATGAACCCTCCTCAACTCCCAAGAAGCTAAGTATAAGCACAGTCTGTGCCAGAGGAAATCCTATTGTGGTGGAAATGAAGTGCACCGTGGGGCTCTTTTTTTACTGAATGGCTACCCTTTCATAGAATTGTCCTAACAATTCTACTGGCTTGTTTTACAGAGTCCATCATAGTTTCAAAACAAACTCTTTTCCCATTATATTGCCTTATTCGAGGTTTGGAGTGTGGCTTCATTTCTTTAGTTTTATAAGCTCAGATCTTCTCGTTCTAAACCCACCTACACAGATTTCCCGTAGTTACAGAAGTCGGCATGTCTGTGCCTGAAAGTGGCTGTTGCTAAAACATTACCCGTAAGCTTTCCCCATGTACAAAAATCTGCAACACCGGGCTGCTCCTGATGTAGACATTTTCTATCTTCTCGGGAGCAATGTACTCTCCTTGGGCCAGCTTGAAAATGTTCTTTTTTCGGTCAATGATCTTCAGAGTCCCATTCTGTAGGAGACGGAGAGAGAAGAGCATGAGTGTCGCTGAGCCCCGCTGGGTGATGTCAGTGGGGAGAGGTGAAGCCCAGAACAGCTCCCCTCTTTCAACAAGACCTCTCCATCAACTTCTGAGCAATCTTTCATTTCTCTTTCTTGGCTTTAGGGGAAGGGGAGGGAGGCAGCTTTCATCCAAACCTGTCTATACCGCATGTCTCTGTGAAGACTCAATGGACAACCTTGGGAAAAGTCCCCTGGACCCACTTGGGATTATGTAAGTGGTTGTCTCATCCGACGGAGACATTCTGCAGCTTCGTAGTTTAACTTCCAATTACCCCGCTTCCAGAGCTCTCAGGAATGGGGAAGGCGTTTTTTATTACGACTTATGAATTAGACCTCCCCCTCCTTGGCGCCCTCTTCCGTTTGGGTTTCCTTTCTGTTAGCTCTGGGAGCAGGCTCTGGAGCGCCACTGTGTCACTGCTAATGGAGCAAGTAGTCACTGCGCTTGTGAGGACAGAAGGAGGGCTGGGGAGGGCTCCGACCAGCCGCCAGAGGTTTCATTTCTCTGGGCTAATTGGTCTGAGGAGCTTAGGTTTTTAGGGATTTGAACTGTCGGATTGGGACAAAGGGCAAACGCAAGCCACATGATCACACCCTAAGTAGGCAGCAGACCGCACCAACCCTGGAACCATCAACAAGGCCGGCTCAAGAAATAAGCCATCAATTCACCCTAACAGACGTTGCCTGGAAGTGATTAATGAGGCTCAGCCCTTTCTGACTCTAGTGTGAAGACCCATCCATTGCCTACACGGTAGGCTGATAAAACCCTTATTCCAGAGAAACAGATACGTTAGCAAAATACGACTGGACCCAAATCTACGAAATAACATCATTGGGACCAGTGTTCTTGGAGGTCCTGTTGTCAAACATTCCTTGACTATCACTTACATCTTGAGAATATTTGAGCAAGAGGGGAGTTTTAAGATCTGGTTATATTCCCGCCTCCCCAGCGCGCAGTAGACAAAAACTTTTCAGAGGAGACTGCTAGAAAAACCTCCCGCAGGCGTTCTACAGCTCCATGTTTCCTTGCAGTCATTTTCTCTCTTCTTGGGAAAACAAAAGGGGTTGACAGAGACTATTTACTGCTCATTGCCTGTCAGCAAGCTATGCTTTAAAAAGCAAAAGTCCCAGTGTCTTCTACCGAGAGAGGTACAAGCTAGCCTCTGCATACACCGAGCTTCACAATCCTGTGTCCTTGACTGATATGTCTCTATTAAGTGGGAGAAACGTATCTCTTTGAAACTCCTAAAAGGCAAAGGTTATAGACCCATGGAGTTATCAAACCACAATTTCTGCCTCAGGAAAAGTTAAAAACAAAACAACAACAAAACAGAATACTACACTTCTTCTTTGGAAAAGGCACCTAATTTTTCTTTGTCTTTAAGCAGATCTATTCCATTGTCAGGGGACTTTCAGAAGTTCTGAAGAACTACCCACCGGGAGCCAGCGACCGATGTCTCCTGTGTGAAGCCAGCCATTCTTGTCCAAGGCCTCTTCCGTCTTCTCGGGGTCCTTCAGGTATCCTTTGAACACATTGACGCCCTTGATGCAGATCTGCACATAAGAAGGGACAGGTGGTGACAACAGCAGAGGCTGCTAACCCTGCCTGGCTCGGGTTCTTTACAGAACACCTACTCCCACCTTTCATTACTTGATGGTTCCCACTATAGTGTTAAGAGCACCAGATTTTACTCTCCACTGTGGAGGATAGGAATGTTAGGCTCCGAGACTTTCAGGCCCTTGCTACAGATCTCAAAAGGAGTCAAACCCAAGCCTGCTTCCAACTGTGTGCTTTTTCGGATACAAATATCCCCACTGTGATGCCTGGAAGGGACTGCCGTGCACAGCCTACCCACCTCTCCTTCGTTGTTCACTGAAAAGTAGTTCATGTCGGCCACATCTTCCAGCTTCACATGGTTGCAACCCATGGGGACACCGACGTGGCCTAGAACACACCACACTGGGTCAACCAGGATACTACAAAACAGCGATGATTCCAGGCATATTTCAGAGATATTTGTGGATTGACTCTAAATGAATCAAACTGAAAAGTCATCTGGTACCCAAGCTGGAGAGCCAAGATGGGAAGGCCTGGATCAAAACTTGGAAGTTTGACATCTGCCACATTCATCCAGAGCATTGAGGTTATCTAAACTCCTGAGTCCTAGTTCAGTTAGAACCCTTCTCCCAACCACCGCACCTCCTGCCTAGGAGACAAAGAACCTACCTGATGTCCAGTCCCCAGGTGATGTAATTGTACAGCCAGCAGTGCATTCTGTTTGACCATAAGCTTCAAACACCTGCACAGACCAAAGAAGGGCTTTGAGACTGACTCAAGATAAAGCAGGAGCTGGCCACGCCCTGTGGCAAGACACGAGGAATGCAGGCTTTCTCAGGGCTGGTGGCCACTTAGTGTCTTCGTACCTTGACTTAGGCCTGAGCTGCTAAGTCTTTACAACTGTGGATTCACTCAAAAACAAAAAGGGTCCAGAAATAGACCAAGCACTGAAGGCAGTGGCCTGTTATGAGCAGAGCTGGTGGAAAAGGAGAGCATGGCATTTCGGGGAGGCATGTGGCAATAGGACCCTCCTGACCTATTGGTTTTAGGAGCTGAGGGAAAGGAACGTATTAAGAGTGGTCAAGAACACATATCTGGAGAAAACTCTAATTCAAAAAGATACATGCACCCCAATGTTCATATATATATTGTATATATACATATACAATAGCCAAAACATGGAAGCAACCTAAATGTCCATCAACAGATGACTGGATAAAGAAGCTGTGGTATATTTATACAATAGAATACTACTCGGCCATAAAAAAGAATGAATTAACACCATTTGCAGCAACATGGATGGACCTGGAAATTGTCATTCTAAGTGAAGTAAGCCAGGAAGAGAAAGAAAAACGCCATATGATATTGCTTATACGTGGAATCTAAAAAAAGAAAGAAGACACTAATGAACTTATCTACATAACAGAAACAGATTCACAGACATAGTAAACAATCTTATGGTTACCACAGGGAAAGGGGGTGGGAAGGGACAAATTGGGAGTTTGAGATTTGCAAATATTAACTAGTATATATAAAATAGCTAAACAACAAGTTTTTACTGTATAGCACAGGGAACTATATTCAATATCTTGTAGTAACCTATGGTGGAAAAGAATATGGAAACAAAACAAAACAACAGAATGGCCAAGAGGATGCTAGTTTGAAAGACTAGAGGGACTCTGGCCTTGACATCAATTCAGAATCCTTTCTGATGGTGGTTACATACACAGGGGACCCAGTGAGGACCACCATCTATTTCATTCATGTTGTGCGTGTTGGTCCAATGAATGAACTAGTTAGCCATTTGGAGGAAAAAAATATGAGACAATATCCAAGCTCAAGCCCCTTTACTAAATTCCAGATGGAGCAGAGACTTAATTGGAAAAAAGTAAAGCCATAAGGTTACCAGAAAAATCTGGGTAAAAACAGTTTTATGAACTATTTGAGGGTGAGGAGGCCTGTCTAAACAATTAAAACACACACACACACACACACACATAGAAAAGATGAATCTGTTGACTGCATAAATATTTGAAACTTGTATATAGCAATACCCAGTGCAAAAAGATGAGACCTGGAAAAATATTTCTAACATGAGAAAGACTGATTTTATTACTATGTGAGGAATTCTTAGAGAACAAGGTGAAAGGGAACCAAATTGTCCTCTGCCCATTTTTCTATAAGGAAGTAATAGAGTAATTCATGGAAGAAATACAAGTACCAATAAGCAACAGAAAAGATGTTCAGTGCGGATAAAATAAGCAAAGCTACAGTAAGATTTTTCATGTATCTGCTTGTCTAAGATGTAAATGACTGAAAAAAGCCTGTCACTCACAGGAATGTGAGGATGTCAGGTCTGGTGCATTATTTGCAGGAATGTCCCAAAAAGATCTTTCTGAAGGGAAGTATGATAATCTACATTAATATGTTTTTAAAAAAACCCATATACTTTGACCCAATAATCCCCACTTCCAAAGAGTTATCCTAAATTGATAATTGCATAAGTACACGCAAGTCTCCTTATCACTTCACTGATTATAACAGCAGAAAGAAAGAAAGAAAG